GGGGCACACACTTATGTGAGTGCATGTGTGGCGTTCAGGACAACTTGCATAGGAATCTCACCTTCCTTACATTTCAGGGATCAAACTCAGGTTACCTGGCTGCATGGCACATCTACCTGCTGAGACATTTAATTGGCCTGTAAGTGAGGCCTTGATTTCTAGTTCAAGAACCTGTATTTCTCTACATGTTGGAAATCTCATTGTAATGTAAAGATGTCTGGCCTCTCTGAGGACAAACTGTTTTCTCATTTAGGAGTAAGGAAGTGAGGTAATTTTGAGAGTGTTGTAGATCTCGAGTTGTTTTCAACTAATGATGCTTGTCTTCTGTGTTTACCTGTACATGACTGGCACGGGAACCCTGTGCTGTCTCTGATTTTCCGTTTGGTCCTGAATGAATTTGTCCACCTGTTTACTTTGTAATTAGAGTTTTTCAGGACACACTTGTGGCTACACTGTTCTTCCAAACTGGCTTTTCTTAGGAGTTCAACTTACCTGCCCTCAAGTAATCATATTGTTGCTCTGTATCTTTTAAAATGAAAAAGTTGCCATTTAAAGTAGATGGTAACAGGACTATCCCCTGGATTCTGGAATACCAAATACTAAATAACTTAAGTTGATTAACTTAGTTAAAAAAAAAAAAAAGAAGTGAGAGTAATAGACATATTTAGGAACATGTATTCAGCATTACTTGTTCAGAAGTTCATTAAAAAGGACCTAAGAATAAGCCAACTGCTTCACTTGTTTGTTTTGTTTTTGTAGTTTGAAAACTTTAAGCACTCTGTTGAACCCAGTATTTTCAGCTTCCTGCAAGAACTAAGTGAGTGAAATGTCCAGTGTAACATGAAGTTACATGACTCATACTTTGCTTCAAATTCCTATGAATCCATTTTTAAATTTGTTTTATTATACATTGTGTGTGAGCTTGCAGGAGTCAGTCTCTTCTCCCACCATATAGGTCCCAGGATTTGAACTCTGATTAGCAGGCATGGTGACAGGTGCCCTTAGTCATCTCTCCAGCCTGTAAATCAATGGAAGTTTAAAAGACGTGATGCCGAGAAATGGTGGCACATGCTTTTAATCCCAACACTTGGGAGGAAGAGACGAGACAGGCAGATCTCTGGATCTATGAGAGCTCAAGGCCAGCCTGGTAGAGCGAGTTCCAGAACAGGCTTTAAAGCTACAAAGAGATGCTGTCTGAAAAACAACAAAACCAAAAAAAAAACCCCACAGTGACAGCCATGCATAATTGCCTCACAGAATATAGGAAGTGAACTTAGACCATCTGTAAAATTTCAAATTTCCTATCCCTTGTCTGTGGTTATAGAAGATTCATCTTGGTCCTATCTGTTGGCCATAATTAATCATCTCAAAATATTACAGATATTTATTGATGTTAGTACTTTTCCTACACGTAATTGTTACCAGTCAGGTGTGCCTTTAATCCTAACACTAAGGAGGTAGAAACAGGTGAATCTCTTTGATAGTTTGAGGATAACCTGATCTACAGAATGAGTTCCAGGACTACCAAGAAAGAGTACACACAGAAACCCTATCTCCGAAAACAAGAAAAACTATGGAAGTACAGAGATTGTGTCTTCTCTTTTTTTTTTTTAAATATTTATTTATTTATTATGTATACAATATTCTGTTTGTGTGTATGCCTGCAGGCCAGAAGAGGGCACCAGACCTCATTACAGATGGTTGTGAGCCACCATGTGGTTGCTGGGAATTGAACTCAGGACCTTTGGAAGAGCAGGCAGTGCTCTTAACCTCTGAGCCATCTCTCCAGCCCTGTGTCTTCTCTTATACTAAGAAAATGAGCCCAGTATTTTAACTTTGTTAAGAGCTTTCTGATTGGTTTCCCATCCACACTGTTCTGATAACTTCAGTCATGTTTACTATACTGGGATACGAGTTGAAAACAAAAGGCCAACCTGTGAGTTTACTGCATTGAAACAACTTTCAATTTTCCCTAGACACAGCACTTCTAAGTGGATGTTGTGCAGATCCTTGAGCTTGAAGAGGTTCTGTGATTCAAGGTCAGCCTGGTGAACAGTGAGCTCCAGGACAGACAATACCCTGCCTCAAAAAAAACAAATGACAATAAGGTAGAAGCTGGGTATGGTTGGGTGGGACATCAGCTCCACTTAGGACACAGAAGCAGGCCTAGTTAGCAAGTCCCAGGTCAACTTATTAGTATAATTAGGTTATTATGCCGACACTGTTAGGTATACTGTTTATTTGAGAGCAGATCTTGCAGCAGGTTGACTTTGAACTTAGACTCCTTCTGCCTTACTCGCCGAGGATGTGGGTTTCTAACTATGTGCCACCTAGCTTGGCTGACAAACTTTATCATATTTTTTTCTTCTTTTAACACAATATATTGAACTCCATGCCTTTTATATGCCAAGCATATGTTCTACCACTGTCTTGGCATTGCCGATATGATTTTTAAAAATCTTTGCTATTTTATCTATGTGCACATATGATTCAAAAAACTTTGCTATTTTATCTAGCTGCATATCTAGCAATGTTTTCAGATTTAGAATGCCTAGGCAAAGCCCTTTTTTTTTTTTTTTTTTTTTTTTTTTGAGACAGGGTTTCTCTGTAGCTTTGGAGCCTGCCCTGGAACTAGCTCTTGTAGACCAGGCTGGCCTCGAACTCACAGAGATCTGCCTGCTTCTGCCTCCAGAGTGCTGGGATTAAAGGCATGTATCACTATCGCCTGGCCTTTTTTTTTTTTTTTTTAAGAAAAGGCTTTTAGCTGGATGGGGGAGCGTACCTTTTAATCCCAACACTTGGGAGGCAGAGGCGTGAGGATCTCTGGGAGTTCAAGGCCAGCCTGGTCCACATAGTGAGCTCCAAGATATCCAGAACTTCATAGAGGTTCTGTCTCAAAAAAAAAAAATCCATTTTTATTTATTTGTGACATGGTCAGTCAGGGTCTGGCTGTATATCTGAGGCTGAACTGAAAGTATGTAGCCCATGCTGGTCTTGAATTTATTATCCTCTTGCCTCAGTTGCCCTAGTGCTGTCCTTACAGGCACACACCCACACCTAGAACTATTTTATAGAACTTTAATCCCATCTAATCTAATCTAACTTCCCATTCTTCTTAATTTGTTTTGGCCCTTCCAAATTCTTGTCACCAAGGCCCCTATATCCTTTTCTAGACGTTTCCTTCACCAGCTTATTCTAACACACATTTAATCTTCTATTAACACAATTTGCTTAGAGTACTTAAAATCTGTAGTCATGGTTTAAGTCCCTCAGCACTAGACAGGAGGTGGGTGGATAGACTTCTACTACTGTCCTGGTCACAATTAGAAAGGAGCTGAGATAAAACTAGAGAGATGGCTCTGTGGGGTAAGAGCCCTGACTTGTTCTTCCAGAGTCTCAGGATTCAATTCCCAGCACCCAAATGGCAACTCACAACTGTTTGTAACTTCCCTTCCAGGGATCTGATGCCCTTACCCAGACATACATGCAGGCAAAACACCGATGCACATAAGATACATTTTATTAGTTTCAAACAAGTTTATTCTTCCTACTAAATTCAGCCTTTCATCATTAGGCAATTCCTTTCTACTTCTAGCTGTTTTTCTGCCACCAGGACAAGCTAGATTGTCAACTCTTTGAGTACGTTTGCTTTTTTATGGTGCTGCGATCTGAAACTGGGTTTCCTATATGCAGGAAAGCACCAAATGAGCTACATCCCTAACCATGTTTGCTTTTGAAGACAGGGTCTCTATAGTCTTATTGTGAGGTATCCACCGGAGAAGATCGATTGGACATGCATGGGTTCAAGCAAATAGAAAGTTTTCATTTGGGACCTGAGTGCAGTCCCAAGCCTTTCTCAGTGTGAGTTTTTAATCACACACACACACACACACACACACACACACACACACACACACACACACATCCTGGGTTGACATACTTCATTTAACAAGACCAGTTAGCCAGAAGCAGAACCACAGAAGCCAAAAAAGTAAGGGAGACTTTCCCAGAACTATGAATTAGGATTTTGTTCTCTCTCTCTCTGGCAGATGTTGCTGTCTAAAGTGCTGCTGGGTTCCAAGGCCTGAATGGTACTTCAATTATGGTGTCAGCTGTGCTAAGTAAGGTGTTGGGAGCTACTAAGGTCTGAGGGGCCTGTTAAAAACCTTGGCTGGCCAGGCGGTGATGGTGCATGCCTTCAATCCCAGCACTTGGGAGACAAAGGCAGGCAGATCTCTGTGAGTTCGAGGCCAGCCTGGTCTACAAGAGCTAGTTCCAGGACAGACCCCAAAGCTACAGAGAAACCCTTTCTTGAAAAACCAAAAACAAACCAAAACAAAAGCTCTTGGCTGTGTTGGAGCTCGCAACTTAGCCCGGGCAGGCCCTGAACTCACAGAAATTCTCCTGCCTCTGCCTCCCGAGAGCTGACATTAAAAGCCAACCCTGAGGGCTCCGACTTTCCATCCTTCTTCCTCAGCTCCCTCCAGCAAGGATTCTAACGTGGACCGCCACGCCCAGCTGCGTAAAGGGTTTGGGTTTCTCAAGAGTCCCACAGTGATCTCCTCTATGGGATGGGAGAATATTTAAAGCAAAGAAGCCTTGGGCGCCAAGCTCCGAGGATAACTTCAAGGGGCTGTGGCGGCGCACGGAAAGGATGGGGTCCAGCGGCTGAGCAGCCTCACACTCTCCTGCCCACGCGGTTTCGCGGAGGCGGCGAGCGCACTGCCGGGTGCCTCTCGCGAGACAGCATCCCGGCCGCACCTCCTTCCTCCCGGCTGTCTCTCTCTCCGCCCCTCAGGAGCTGCGCCGCTTTCTCCAGAGCAGGGGACAGCGGACGTGGCGGGGCGGGTCCAAATCCGGAGTGCCGCACACAGCGGTTCCCCCAGGCGGACCTTCGGTGCTGCGGTCCAGCCAGGGAGCGCCGACCGCTCTTTCCGGATACACCGCGCCGGCGGGGCGGAGAAGACCCGAGCGGGGCGCCACACCTGGGAGGGGGGCAGGGGCGGGCGGGGCTCGCGCACGCGCGCTGCGGGTCTTCGGGGAGCCCGCTGTGCTGTTGCGCTGCCCGAGAGCGCTGTCGCTGAGGTGGCGCCGTACCCGAGGCTCCTCTCCTCCGCCTCAGCTCGGAGAGAGTCGGGAGGATGGCTTCGGAGGTGGAGTCGTCGCTGGAGGTCAGCTTCTCGTCCAGCTGTGCGGTGTCAGGGGCGTCCGGGTGTCTGCCTCCCGCCCGCTCCCGCATCTTCAAGATCATCGTGATCGGCGACTCGAACGTGGGCAAGACGTGCCTGACTTACCGCTTCTGCGCCGGCCGCTTCCCCGACCGCACAGAGGCCACCATCGGGGTGGACTTTCGAGAGCGAGCCGTGGAGATCGACGGCGAGCGCATCAAGGTGAGCGGATGGCGGCGGGGAAGGGGGCTGCGCAGGGCCGCCCCGGCTTTGCAGGTGTCTGGACCGCACCCTGGCTCTGTGCAGGAGTGCGCGCCCCGAGTGCTCCCACGCTGGCGTGGAAAGTGCGTTTGTATGCAGTAAACTTCTGAGACAGTGCCCGCCCCCCTCCCTCCACCTCTAACGAGCATCAACTTTACCTGGGGCATCTTGTGTTTCAAAAAAGCACGTTGTGATTTGCTGTTAGGCAAATGCAATGAGCCTGTGGACCACACTGTCAGTGATGTCAGTGGTGTAGGGGAGTCACCCCTCCCCCCATTGCCTACGTGAGAGTTATGTGCTGGGAGTGTGGGGAATATGATGACCAAAGGAAACTCTTAAGCATAGAAAGCTCAAGTTATTTCTAAGAATGCGTTTGAGCATTGCATAAATGCATAAGTATTGTGGGAATAAAGCCTGTTGCGTTGGAGACAGTTTCTGCATGATAACCTATTTAGAAAAAAAACCCTATTTTCTCATTGAAGCATTATATATGTGATGACTCTTAAGTGGGTTGCCGAAATCCCGTCTCTCGATGCAGGCACAGACCCCCTCCCAGGTGGTTTCGGAGACCTCAGACATCGCAATCATAGCAGGGAAGGCTAAGACGGCCAGGATTGGGATGGCGAAGCATTCGCCTGCTGGAACTGCAGGATAAGGATCCTGCAAGTCAGGGGCCTCCTCACGGTGTAAACCTTGACACTATTGCAAAACCACTACGTTTACTTAATTCTGAGAGGTGGGAGTGGGGAACTACCGTGAGACCCCATCTCAAACTAAACAAACAAATCAATCCCGCCCCCCGCCCCCTCTTCCCGCGCACGAAACGGAGGAATTCCCCTGACTTCCTTAAGCGACTGCTTTCACTTTTCCTTACGTTGGGGATCCTCTACTTGGAACAGGTTTGATTTGTTTCTCCTACCCTTTTATCCTTGAGGCATGAAGTTTCTGTTTCTTTACTCCCCTCCCCGCCTTCAGAAAGCTTTTTACCCCTAGTAAAGAAAAGGGGAAATCGTCTGAGTTAAGAGACCACCTTTTCTAGGCCCCTCTGCTTTCTGTTTCCTTCTATCTTATGTGTGTGGGTGCACATGTGTGCAGTGGGGGTGAGTCTAGACTCTATATGTTCACGTCAGTCTTCCGAAGTTGCTCTCCATCTTGCGTTTTTGAGGCAGTCTCCCAGTGAATCTGCAGCTCCCTGATTCCATGAGGCTATCTGACTAGCAAGCTCCAGAGATCCTCCTGTTTCTGCTTTCCTTGGGCTGGGATCGCAGGTGCTGAGGGTCCAAATTTAGCTCGGCAAGCACGTTCCCAACTGATCGTCTTGTTCAGGCTGCCAGTAGTTGGTCGTTTGTGTACCTTGTATGTAAAGGAAGATGTATGGGAGTAGGGTGTAGTTCGGCGATAGGGTGCTTAATAGGGTGCGCAAGACGCAGTGTGTGATCCCTAGCAGTGTGTGATCCCTAGCAGTGTGTGATCCCTAGCAGTGTGTGATCACTAGCAGTGTGTGATCCCTAGCAGTGTGTGATCCCTAACAGTGTGTGACCCCTAGCAGTGTGTGACCCCTAGCAGTGTGTGACCCCTAGCAGTGTGTGATCCCTAGCAGAAGCTTGGGGAAGAGACTGTGTACATGGCAAGAAGAGCTAGATGACTAGAAGGTGGTTTGTTTTTTTTTCTTTAATCATCAAAACTTGGTTAGGTACAGAAACCGGTGGCAGCAGAAAAGAACGAGGCTTCTGGTGTGTGCACATTTAGTCTGGGTAAGAGTTGTGGGAAGAGTTACGCAAGCTTTGGAGCTCAGCTAACCCAGGTGCAAAGTGTGAGCCTATGAAAAGCGTCGGGCCATGGTGTGGCTGAAGTTGTCTTTCAAGTTCATGTGTTGGAAACTTAATTCCCAAGTTCCTGAGCTAATGGAACTTGGAGGCGGGACATTTGGGAGGTGATCGGGTCCTTTGGATTTATGAATGAGTTAATCCCTTTACAGATTAATTAGACTAATCTGTTGACTGGTTAAGGGATTAGTTCATTCATAAATTAGTGGATTAATCTCATTTATGGATTAAGGGGTTATTGGGAGTGTGGCTCTCGACACCCATCAGGTGTGAACCAAATAGGTCTCCGTTCTCTAAATTATCCAGCAACAGAAAATAGACTAAAGTATGTGGCCTGTCACGCTTTTTGTTTTTCTTTCTGTGTTTCTTTAAAAATTATTTTTTATATTTATCTATCTTTGATCTTGAGAGCCTTTTTTTTTATATTTTTCTTTATTATGTATACAATATTCTGTCTGTGTGTATGTCTGCAGGCCAGAAGAGGGCACCAGACCTCATTACAGATGGTTGGGAGCCACCATGTGGTTGCTGGGAATTGAACTCAGAACCTTTGGAAGAGCAGGCAATGCTCTTAACCACTGAGCCATCTCTCCAGCCCTTGAGAGCCTTTTTTAAAATTAAAATTTATTTATATTTCTTGTGCATTGGTGTTTGCCTGTATGTATGTCTGAATTGGGTACTGCCATGTGGGTGCTGGGATTTGAACTTGGGTCCTCTAAAAGGACAGCCAATGTTCTTTTTGTTTGTTTCAAGACAAGGTTTCTCTGCGTAACAGCCCTGACTGTTCTAGAACTCACTTTGTAGACCAGGCTGGTCTTGTGAGTGCTGGGATTAAAAGCATGGGTCATTAGCCAGTGCTCTTCACCACTGAGATAGTCTTTCTATGTAGCTCTGGATGGCTTCTAACTCACCTGCCTTTTTTCTCTCTTCTTCTTTTCTTTTTTCTTAAAGATTTCTTTACTTGTTATGTATACAGTGTTCTGCCTGCATGCGTGCCTGCAGGCCAAACGAGGGCACCAGATCTCATTACAGATGGTTGTGAGCTACCAGGTGGTTGCTGGGAATTGAACTCAGGACCTGTGGAAGAACAGTCTAGTGCTCTTAGCCTCTGAGCCATCTCTCCAGCCCCCATGCAGTGTTTCTTAACCTGTGGGTCACAACTCCTTTGGGGGGGTGTCAAATGACCCTTTCACGGGGGTTGTTGAAGACATCAGAAAACACAGTTATTCACGTTATAATTCTTAACAGTAGCAAAATTACAGTTATGAAGTAGCAATGAAAATAATTTTATGGTCAGGGTCATTCTAGGATAAGGAGCACACAGTTAGCATTTGTGAACATTTGCTCAGTGATAAAGTCAGTCTTGTTAGCCCTGAACTATCATGGGTGAGCATGGTAACATGCTCACTTATTACACACACACACACACACAATTTCCATCTGTCCACCTGTTCAGTGCATCTGACAGCTCACTTTAGTCTCATCTGCTGGAGAAGTATGTACAGGTGTGGTAGTGGTGGTGTGGGCTTGGATCCAGACTCTTCCTGTTAGGTGGAGTGCTCTACCACTTCCACAGCTGAGCTACAGCTCTGGCACTTAAACAATATTTCTTATATTATGTGTACTGGTGCTGCCTGCATGTATGTCTATGTACCATGTGTGTACATGGCCCACAGAGGCATTGTGTTCTCCTGGAACTGGAATTACAAATGGTTTTAAGCCAGCATGTGAATGCTGGGAATCAAACCCTGGTCCTGGGGAGAGCAGCCAGTGTTCTTAACCATTGAGCCATCTCTCCAACCCTGTATGCTTTTTTCAAAACAAAGGGTCTCATGTTCCCAAAGCTGACTTCAAAGTCTATATATATTCAAGGATGACTTTGAACTGTGTGTGTGTGTTCATTTACATATGTGTGGAGGCTGTGTTTTTTGAGACAGGGCCTCATCTTCCTACCTAACCTTGAACTTGTGAACCTCTTGACTTTACCTTGTGGGTGCTGGGATTATAGACACGCCCCCATGGTTTATGCAGCGCTGGGGATTGAATCCAGGGCTTTCAATGTGTGTATGATGGGCAAGCATTCTATGGACTAAGATCTGTCCTCATCCCTGTGGGTATTGAATCTTTTTAAAACCTTTCCTTAAGCTGGGTGTGGTGGCACCTGCCTTTATGCTCAGCGCTGCTGAAGCAGAGATAGGTAGATCTATGTGAGTTAGAGGCCTGCCAGAGCTACGTAATGCGAAGCTGAGCCGGAAGGACGGCCTTAAATTCAAGGCTAGCCTGACTACTTAGTGAATTGCAGACCCCCTTGTCCCAAAAAACCACAAAACTGAGGCAGACATGATAGCACACCTTTAATCCCAGCACTCGCAGATCTGTCCAAAGACTCCTCAGTCTGTGTCGCTAGGCAGCTGAACTGTGTGTCCACTGGCCACCAACAGTCCCAACACTTAAAGAGTCTTCCTTTTTAACTCCAGGCCAGCCCGAGCTACATAGTGAGGGCCTGTCTAAACATACACATACAAAAGAAAGGAAGCAAAACCCTGAGGGTCTGTGCTTGCTGATTGATTTCTGAGTGCTGTATACATAAACTTGAAAGAGGAAAATCTCATTCGAGAATTTTGGCAGCTGAATACAAATGAATTCCTTAAATAAAAATGCATTTGACTTTCAGATCGGCTGTCTTGGTCTTAATCCATATGCTCCTCCCTGACTGTCTAGCTGTGTTCCTCTCTCAACAGTCATTTTGCCCTGGCAGGGGCTTCAGTAAAGTCTGATGTTTTGACATTTAATCCAGTCTTCCATCAGGGATTAGCAGTCAGTACTTAAATATGTCAGTGGCTTTCTTGTTTATAGCAGGAGAAGAGAGCAAGATGTTAATATTAACTAAGGAAAAACAATCACTGTATCTCCTTCCCATAAATCAATATATTAAGCCCAAAGTATGCTAGTCCAGTGTGAGGAGTAGCAAACAGTGGCAGTCAGATGCTCTGCTTCATGTTTTAGGTGACATGCAGTCTAAGGATGAGTTTTGTATTTTCTCTGCGCTGGGGATGAACGCAGGGCTTCTTCATTGCACGGTACACAAGCCAGCACTCTTGTCATCAGCTGTACCTCAGCCATGTCTTTGTATGGTTGGAGAAAAGAAGAATGAGATTTCATGATAAATGAAAATTACATGAAATTCAGAATCTACCAGGTCATCCAGATACAATCTTTATCTTTTACTCCCTAGATCCAACTAGCTTCCTACTGCAAGTTTTCATATTACTCCTCTCATCAAAACCCTAGCTGCAGTATTTCTTCCAAGCGTCCCTTTGAGGGGATAGAGATCTGCAAAGCTCAGTGGTGGAACACTTGTCTGGCATGTTCGGGACAGTGGGTTTCATCCTCAGCACTAGGGAAAAATTCAGACCTGACTGAACTTTGGTAGCAGCTCAGTTGATCTCATTTAAAAACAGCTAACACAAACCATTCCTTTTTTGTTTGTTTGTTTGTTTTTTTCAAGGCAGCGTTTCTCTTTGTACCTTTGGTGCCTGCACTGAAACTCACTCTGTAGACTAGGCTGGCTTCGAACTCGCAGAGATCCACCTGCCTCTGCCTCCCAAGTGCTGGGATTAAAGGCGTGCGCCACCACTGCCCAGCACCACAAGCCATTCTTTGTTAGGCCATGCTGCTTCCTTTAGTCACCCTATAGTTTGGCCAAGTCATTTGCTGGTTTCTCACTGTTTGCTTGGAATATCCCTCCTTCCTGTATTTCCCTGCAGGATTGTTGTTGAGCTTCTCCTTAGAATCCCAGCCATTATACTTCCTTCAGTGAAAATCCCCTTAGCCCTCCGTCAGACCAGGACCATCTTACTGTATTATGTATCTGTCTTCCCTGTTAGAGTAGGGTCTAGGTCTGGTAATCCCTATAGTAGGGGTAGGAGCTCAGGGCCTAAGTGTGCAGTTGTGCAAACAGGTCAGTTGGTAGGTTACCCTGGAATTCTCACAGTCAAGTGGCAAAGAAAGCTAATGAAGGTGACAGAGGACAAAATGGTTTCATTGATGAAGAAGGCCCACCGAGGCAAGTCACGGTAACTGGAGATAATAACTCTAGGAACAGAGGTCATGAGAGTGAGATAGAACATCTGCTTTTAGGATTTCAAAGAAAGCTTTCATTTGTTTTATGTGTCTGAGTGTTTATACACCATGTGTGTGCCCGGTGCCCACGAAGATGGCAGAAGAGGATGTTGGGTTCCCGGAACTAGAGTTACACAGCATTGTGAGCCAACCTATGGGTGCCGTGACCCAGACGTGGTCCTCTACAAGAGCAGCAAATGCTCTTATCTGCCGAGCCAGCTCTCCAGCCTATGAATCTTTAAATTTAAGGGCAGGGTATTGCTCAGTTGCCCATGCTTGTCTCAAACTCTAGATGCGCCTGTCCCAGTCTCCTGAGTAACAGGACTAGGACACAGACAGCAACACATGTGGCTGAACTTTGGATTGTATTTATTTTTAGATGCTTTAATTTTAAATTACATATACTTAGTGTCTGTGTGTGTGTGTGCGTGCGTGTGCACATGTGTGAAGTGTGTGTGAGTGTGAGCATGTAGAAGTCAGAGGATAGTTTGCAGGATCTGGCTTTCTCCTTCCATAGTGTGGGTCCTGGGATTGAACTAAGGTCATCAGACAAGCACCTTTCCCTGCTTGAGCCATCTTGCCAGCCCCTGAATATAGGATTCAGATACCTTTATTTGAGACATGGTCTCACTATGTAGCTCTGGCTGTCCTGGAACTCACAAAGATCCACTTGCCTCTGCTGGGATGAAAGGTGTGCACCGCCATGCCAGGATAGAATTCAGATACTTTTGAGGGTTTATTAGTATCTTATCTGACAAATTCAGAATTGTGGGATTTCCTGAGTAAACAAAGTAGGTAACTTTTAAATAAGGTAGTGTAGTAGATAACTTGACAGCATTATCAATGTCAAGGGAAATTCAACAGTGGTGTTGAACCTGTAAAAGGTCTTATCTTGTCATATAAAAATGACATCTAGAGGCTGGAAAAATGGCTTAGCAGGTGAGAGCACTGGCTGCTTTTCCAAAGGACCCATGTTTGGTTCCCAGGACAGTGACTGGCAACTGTCCAGTTTTAGAGGATCCTGTGCACACCTGCGGTACACAGGCATCCATGCAGGCAAAACACATAAAAAAACCATAAATAAAATCTTAAAATTTTAGAAACATTCAAAAAAGAATAAAACCAGAGTTAGCAGTCATGTGATATCCCCAGTTGGTAGGATGCCAAACTTACCCTTAACTCTGTATTGTGACTCCTTGTGAGGCTGTTTTTACTCTTACAAAATACCTGTTGTTGCTGGGCAGTGGTGGCACACGCCTTTAATCCCAGCTCTCAGAGGCAGAGGCAGGAGGATCTCTGTCCAGCCTGGTCTACAGAGTGAGTTTCAGCACAGGCTCCAAAGCTACACAGCAAAACCCTGTCTCAAAAAACCAAAAACTAAAACAAAAACAAAAATGCCTGTTGTCAGGCAGCCAAGGGCAGAGTGAGCTGTGTCACATGGCATGTTTTAAATGCTCTACTGTGTATGTTCATGATCGTGTGTGCACCTGTGTGTGCAGGCATGAATGGAGGCTAGAGTTCTTCCTTAATTGCTGTCTTCCTTAGTTTTGGGGACAGGGTTTCTCACTGGCATCTGAATGGCCCAGCTAGTCTGGCTGGCCTGCACACCTCAGAGATCCTCCTGTCCTCACAGCCATTGCTGGGGTTCTAGGTATGACTGCTCCCCCTGGCTGTGAGTACTGGAGACAGAATTCAGGTTCTCATATTTGCAGGGTCATAGCTGAGGTTTCTGTTGCTGTGAAGAGACACTATGACCATGGCGACTCTTACAAGGAAAACATTTAATTGAGGTGGTGGTTTACAGTTCAGAGATTTCAGCCCATTATCATGGCAGGGAGCATGGCAGTGTGCAGGCAGACATGGTGCTGGCTATATCTTGATCAGAAGGCAACGGGAAGTGGCCGGTGACACCGGGCAGGATCCTGAGCATAGGAAACCTCAAAAGCCCGGTCCCACAGAGACACACTTCCTCCAACAAGGCCATACCCACCTCAACGAAGCCACAACTCCTTATAGTGCAACTCCCTATTAGCTTATGAGGGCCAGTTACATCCAAACTACCACACGCAGCAACACTTTACTATCTCCCCAGACCCTCTTTTTTCAGTCTCAAAGACAGCTGCTTTCCTGGAATGCCTTCTTCCCAGGAAGGCTGACTGCATGGTATTGGCTCAAATTCTGCTACTGGGTCCCCCTAAGTACCAAGAAAATCAGAGAAATCAAGACTTGTAAGTACGTTACATTTCTACTCTGGATAAAATGAGGCTTATATTAGTCAAAGGAAGACTGTTAAGAAACTGGAGAGTCCGGGTATGCTGGTAATTGCTTCTCCTAATCCCAGAATTTGGGAGTCAGAGGTAGGTGGATCTCTGTGAGTTTGAGGCCAGCCCTGTCTACATAGAGAGCTCCAGGACATCCAGGAGTACACAGTAAAAGACCCTGTCTCCAAGAGAAGAAAAGGAGAGGAAAAAAGAAAGAAAAACAGGATAAAATGAAGAAGTTTGGATTTAAAGAGCTGACAGACTTAAAAGTCAGAACTGAGGGCTAGATGGATGGCCCAATGGCCAGAGGCACTTGATTCCTGAACCCCAAAGTGTCAGTGGAGAGCCAACTCCTGAGTTGACCTGACCTGTGTGCACTCATCATGGTGTGTGTGCACCTGCATATGTGCATGTGTGTACATGCAGGATAAACATTAAAAACCACTCATTCAGTACGTTTGACTCAGCGCTGGCCTTTCATAGCTCTAGGTTATGAATATTCTGATGGTTTATGTGCTGTATCTTTTTCCTTCAATCTTCTTTAAAAAATAATTATTAAGACTTTACCTGTTCAGATTTTAAAATGATATTTAGTAGTCACATGGTGACTATCCTAGGATCATGCAGTCTAGACCCCACAGAAAAGCCAAGCTCCCAAGCGGCAGAGTGTTTGGGGCAGGTAGACGTGGCAAGGCTGCTGTCATTGGACTGAATGTGTCGACCTTGCTTTCTGTTTCCCACGCTGCAGATCCAGCTGTGGGACACTGCAGGACAAGAGCGGTTCAGGAAGAGCATGGTTCAGCACTACTACAGGAACGTGCACGCTGTCGTCTTCGTCTACGACATGACCAACTTGGCCAGCTTCCACAGCCTGCCATCTTGGATCGAGGAATGCAAGCTGCACTTGCTGGCAAGTGACATACCTCGCATCCTGGTCGGGAATAAATGTGACTTGAGAAGCGCCATCCAGGTGCCCACAGACTTGGCACAGAAGTTTGCTGACACCCACAGTATGCCTTTGTTCGAGACCTCGGCTAAAAACCCCAATGATAATGACCACGTAGAAGCGATATTTATGACGCTGGCTCATAAGCTGAAGAGCCACAAGCCCTTGATGCTTAGCCAGCCACCTGATAACAGAGTTATCCTGAAACCCGAAACGAAGCCCGCGGTGCCCTGCTGGTGCTGAGTCACGGGTACGCCCCTCACGGGTCTGACTGAGTCTGAAGTCGTGTGATTACGTGTGTAAGATTAACTCTTCAATATCATGGCTCATCCCGCTGGTTCCGTTGTTGCGCTGCCTTTTGTATTTTCATCCTCTTGCTAAGTTTGTCACTGCGACCGTTCGAGGAGAAGGCCAATTTACAGCTGGGAGGGAAAAGGAAGCAAAGACGAGACAGCCAGGTCTTCTTTCCAGTCCCAGGCCTCCCGTGAGCATGATGGGACCTCAAGGCTCAGTGTGGCGCCCACGCCGCCGTGTTCCTGGACTGGGAAAGAAATGCCGTGTAGTGCACACTTACTGCACGGAGCTATCGGCAAATAGCGAGTTACTGAGGTGCTTTTTATTGTACTGTGGCATCTAAGTACTAAAAAACTAATCAAAAGAATCCAGACAGTTGTAATGGGAATTTATTTTAGCCGTGACTTTTAATTAAAATATCAGTTGCAAGCTTTGCGCAGTGGCAGTATCGTAGCCAATGAGGTTTATCCGAGGCGCGATTATTGCTAATTGAAAAAAAAAAAAATATCAGTTGCAAAGCTGGTTCCTGGTGCCCCTGTCCTCCACTCGTGGTGAGTTGGGTGACTCAGGGCTGGATTCAGTCAGCATCCGTTCTGCCAGAGCTCTGAAGGCACGTCTCAAGTTCCCGAGTCTACGTGGATTCCTGTCATAGTAGCGTTGGGTTAGTTTTTTTAAATGTTTGTGTTTTATGTCCACAAATTGTTCCTTTGGACAAAATGAATTAATTTTTTTTCTTTGGTTTTTCAAGACAGGATTTCTCTGTAGCTTTGGAGCCTGTTCTGGAGCTTCCTCTGTAGACCAAGCTGGCTGCAAACTCACTGAGATCCACCTGTTTCTGCCTCCCGGGTGCTGGGATTAAAGGTGTACACCATCACCTCCCGGCTTGAAAAATATCTTAACTGTCCCTCAGTGGTGAAAGAAATAGTTTAATTTTTTTTCCCTAAGCACTTTTAGTTTAAATTTATTTTGTTTTCAGGATGATTTTTTAGTTTAAATTTAAGACTTTGCACAAGGAACACAGCACATTTCCATATGGAGCTCTTTGCGGAATGCTGTGTAAGCCGCGTTCAGCCTAAGTGTGCACGTCCTCGTTCTGACAGCTTGCAGCCCTGGGCAGTTCTAGAGGAAATTAAGGCAAAATAGATTATACTTAAGTGTTTTCCAAATGTGGGAAATAAGGGTACTCTGACCTAGTTTCATTATTCTGAAGGTCCCAGTTGGAAAATTCCATTACAAAAGCAAATTTTTTTATTTAGTAAGCTAAGTGAAAGTAAAACTTTTACGAATGGTTGTCCAGTTTTAAATACTAGGGCCAGGTTGGCTTTACTTGTATCTAGAGAGATTGTTCTTTTTCTCTTTTTAAATACAGGGTCTCACTTTGTAGGCCTGACTGGCCTGGGACCAGGGTGGCCTCCGACTTACAGATATTCTCCTGCCTCATCCTCCAGCCACTTGGGATTAAAGCCTTGTGTCACTAGAACTAGCCTACTACAGTTTTCCTGATCATGCAATAATTAAAGATTTACCTAAATTAATGCTGACTCGGGGACTGTTTTTCTAGTGAGACATAATGGGTGCAGTAGCTGGGCTGTAGCCGTGCTTACAGAAGGGCGTCTGTTCGTTGTTTCCAACGCTGTACAGCTGGGGAACAGAGAGGCTTTCCGGGCGCGTGCCTTCTTCCTACTGTTCTCGGGATCGTTTCTTCAGCACTATTAATAATTATTTCTCTTTTTAAAGTAGCAGACTGTTTCTTTTTGTAAGGAGTTAGTGAGCTTTCTTTACAATTCTGTGAAAAGCTTTATTTTTCCACTTTAGTATTTATTAATTAAAACATTTGTATCTCATTTGTAACGACCTACTACTTTAAGTTTTTAGTTTCTTATTTTAAAAAGATACTTACGAGGAGAGCAAGATTAGGCCTTAGATGTAGCCCGGGGTGTTGGAAGGCACTTCACTGACTGTTGACCTGCGTCCAGATGGTGGTGAGCTGACCTCTAGTTACTAATTTTTTAAGCACAAATCATACATTTTGTATATCTGTGAATTTATTTTAACTGACATTTAGTTGGAAGTATCAGATGTTTTAGAAAAATCTTTATCTGAGAACACCAAAGCGAACTACTTCCGGCTCTGTTATGGTTGGCTGCAAACCGCGTGATTGGCAGAGTTGTTCTTCACGTTTCCTCAGCAGGCTCGGTAGTTTTGCTATGAAACAGGTGTCATTCTTTTGTTTCTCCCTCGAAGTACAATAAAATCATCTTTGCCACGAAGAAACGGTGTTTTGGTTCCTTTGTTTTCCGGGTTGCATATAAAATTAAAGAGCATACCTCACCTCCTCCCCTGTCTGCTGTGGTTTTTTAGAAAACCTATATATCCTGCAGTTCCTTAATTTGAAAATCCAAAATCTGATAGTTATTTCATCTAGAAACTTTCAGATTTTGGATCATTTTGGATTGGGAATTTTTAGATTAGGTATTCTCAACCAGTGAAGTTGGTGTAGATGACGAGAAACCAATCCTAAGTCTAAAGTGTAAGGGTTCTCAAGAGTCCTCAGTGCAGACAGCACATGCTCTGGAAATGGCCGGAGTGTGTTTGCGGGGTGCACGCAGGTACTAGAGCAGGAGAAAGAAGAGTGTGTCTCAGGCACAAGACTGTCCCCCAGCCCCTCTGGTGACTTTTCAGGGGCTACTGCTTCTCGCTGGCCAGCTGCATTACCTAAGTCAGATGCTGCACTGCATCCAGGGATGGCTGGCTTCATCAGACGCTGGGTCTGCAGGTGTGTGTGCAGCAGCAGACGGTGTCAGATCACCTGCAGCTGTGGTTACAGGTAGTTACAGGTGCCTTGGGCACCCGATGTGGGGACTAGGGACTTGAGTCTTCTGGGTCATTAATTGGCCATGTTCTAGGTTTTCCTAGAGCTGACACATACCAATTCACTTGATTTATTGAAATGATCTTGTCTATCCGTTGCTTACCAAGTTCTTACTCTGTGCCGCAGTGGCGGCAGGCTGTGGAGTTACACAAACAAACAGGACTGTCTTTGAAGGGCTTTAAATGTTGGTACGGGCCTGGGGAGGTGGCTCCATGGTCAAGGGTGCTTGTTTTTTAGAGGATCCATGCTGGCCTGACAACCACCTATAACACAGCTCCAGGTGATAACAATACCCTCTTCTGGGCTCCACAGGCACCTGCATACACACGCATACAGTGACACACACAAACATACAATAAGTGACAGGTCAGTGCATGGATGTCACATTAAGGAACAAATCAAACTCCCTCTCGGGACACTTTGACCAACAGTGAGCCTAAATGTGAATTCCCCACTTTTCTCCCCGTGTCTTCCCTCTGTAGTTTGTGATTTCTGACCTGTCTGTAGCCTATGTGTTGTGTGTCCGATCTGCCCCTGTTGCCTGCCCTATGTTGCCTGTGTGTTATGTCTGTCCCTAGCGAAAGGCTTTGCTCTGTATTTATTTAATAGCACAGGAAACACAGTATGGGAAAGAAATGAGGGCTTCTTTTGTTTTATGTGCATTGGTGTGAAGGTGTCAGATCCCCTGGAACTGGAGTTATAGACAGTTGTGAGCTATCATGTGGGTGCTGGGAATTGAACCCAGGTCCTCTGGTAGAGCAGCCAGTGCTCTTAACTGCTGAGCCATCTCTCCAGCCGAAATGAGGGCTTCTTTACAGAACTCTTCAGCAGGTTTACCTGGAAAGAAACTGCTGACCTCAACTGACTCAACACTCAAAACCTCACACGTTATCAACCGGTATCACATGTTGTTTCCAGTATTTATGGTGGATTTTCAATAAATGATACACACACACACACACACAGAGTATTCTGGCTCATGGAAGAGTACATAATTTTTTTAAGAGTAGAACTATGCATTTAGCTTAGGTTGTAAAAGCTGATTGCATGGGAAATCCAAAGCATATTAAGATTGGTTACATTGGACTGGAGAGATGGCTTAAGGCTAAGAGCACTGGCTGCTCTTCCAGAGGTCCTGAGTTCAATTCCCAACAACTACATGGTGGCTTACAACCATCTGTAATGAGATCTGGTGCCCTCTTTGGGCATGCAGGCACACATGCAGGCAGAACACTGTGCATATAATAGATAAATCTTAAAAAAAAGAAAAGATTGGGGGGCTGGAGAGATGGCTCAGTGGTTAAGATCATTGCCTGCTCTTCCAAACGTTCTGAGTTCAATTCCCAGTACCACATGGTGGCTCACAACCATCTGTAATGAGGTCTGGTGCCCTCTTCTGGCCTGCCGACATACAGATAGACTATTGTGTACAAAATAAATAAATATTTAAAAAAAAGATTGGTTACATTGTTCTCTTAAAGGTAGGTTAAACAAGCCGAGCACACAGTAGGAGAGTGCACACAGTAGGACAGCAGATGAAACAGTCTTAAATGGCCTCCAGGCAGATTATTAACTTGACTGCCAGGGCTAGCAAAAGTTCAGTCTCTTTGTAGGCAAGAGATGCGTTCAGAAAGCATCTCACTAAAGGTAAGCAGGACTTTTGTCACAGAAGATAAGTGTGATTGATTGGATAAGCGTATGCCCGCGGATGGTACGCAGAGTGGAGACTGGATAAGCGTGTGCCCGCGGATGGTACGCTTAATCCCAGCACTTGGGAGGTAGGGGTAGGTGGATCTCTGTGAGTTCAAGGCCAGCCTGGTCTACAAGAGCTAGTTCCAGGACAGGAACTGAAAGCTACAGAGAAATCTTGTCTCGAAAGAAAGAAAGAAAGAGAGAGAGAGAGAGAGAGAGAGAGAAAGAGAGAGAGAGAGAGAAAGAAAGAAGAAGGAAAGAAAGAAAAAGTGTGTAGCTGTGACAGCCTCACAAGAGCATTTGTGCATTACCGTAAATGGGTAACAAATGCGATCACTTAACAGAGTAACGACATCATCACACTTATGCTGGGAATTCTGTGGCAATGAAGGGTATGTGGAAATGAGGTCACGGTGACAGCTGACTTACTGTGATAGCCTACAAGACAAAGTTTTAACTGAGACGCTGGCAGAGTGCACGTACACCCATAATCCCAGTGCTGGCGAGGTGGAGGCAGGAGGATCAGAGTTCAAAGGTCGTCCTCCCCTACACAGTGAGTTTGAGCCAGCCTGGGCTGCGCGTCTGTCTCAAAACTGAATGGGTGAATGGATAGATTAATAAAAGTCCAAAAGGTTGGTAGAACCGTGCAGTGGTACTTTTAGGATGCCTGAGGCCCTAGACTTAATACCCTGTGCCCCAACACAGTAAATACACAAAAGAAAAAAAAAAGAACAGAAGGATTTAGAGGCTGGGGGGCAGCTTTCATAATCATTTAGGTGGACCCAGGAAAGAAGGAGATGTGACAAATCCAAGGGCAGCAGCATCTGAGATAATAATCACCCGAGACCTCGGTCACTGCTACTCTCTTCAGCACCTGTGACATCCAGGACCCGCCATCAACATGTCCCCAGAGTTGGTGTGAAGTACTAAAACCTCTAACACTGTGCTGCCCAAAAGGTCCATTTGCCTGATACCGCATCGCTGCCTGCATCTCCTCGCAATTGGCCCGTAGTTCATTTTACCGGATATTGTGATGCACGGACCAGTAGATAGCTACACGTGTATCCGTGCAGAGAGACATCTCTAGTTTAGTATTTGGAATTATTGCTTAGTTTTAAAGTGCTGAGGGCAGAAGCCCATGCCTTGTCCTTGATAGACAGACTCTCAGCCTTGTTCGGCTTCATCCCCCCCCCCCCCCCCCCGCCAGCCTACATGCAGACATATTTATATGACTCTATGCACATTTCTAGCTTTCCCGTCTAAGCGTGTCAATATTTGTCAAGCCAGACGTGTTTTGCCCAGGAGTCACGCATGTCTCAGCCCAGTGTATGTGACCTAAGAGACCACAGAACTGAGCTGCTTGGCCTGTGTTTCCTGTTTGCCTTCATACCTAGAGCTCTGCCTAGCTCTTGGCCTAGCTTGTACAGCTTCGAATCTCATTCTGAATGTTTGGTGATTACTGAGTATGCATGTATCTGTGCTGAGGAGTGATCTGGTGGTCAGAGGACAGCCCTGTAGTCAGTTCAACTTTTCTTTCTTTTTTGGTTTTTTGAGACAGGGTTTCTCTGTGGCTTTGGAGCCTGTCCTGGAACTAGCTCTGTAGACCAGGCTGGTCTCGAACTCACAGAGATCCGCCTGCCTCTGCCTCCCGAGTGCTGGGATTAAAGGTGTGCGCCACCACCACTCTGCTTAATGACCCTCTAGACTTAATTTTCTTTCTTTCTTTCTTTCTTTCTTTCTTTCTTTCTTTCTTCCTTCCTTCCTTCCTTCCTTCCTTCCTTCCTTCCTTCCTTCCTTCCTTTCTTTCTTTCGATTTTTAAGTTCCCATCTGAAGCGGTGGGTTCACCGCTTTCTTATGTTTATTACTCTCATTTACACCCCCTGCTACCCGCTTGCTGGTTCTTCTTTCTCTCTGCCAATTGTCCCCCTTTGTTGCAACTTCCATATTCTTTTTTCTCTCTCTCTCTCTCTCTCTCTCTCTCTCTCTCTCTCTCTCTCTCTCTCTCCCTCTCTCTTCTTTTCCTGCCAACACCCTTAAGGGTGCTTCCCCATATGGACTCCCTTTTGGTTTCCTGACCCACATATAGTTTAATGTGTACACACACAGCACACACACACACGCGCACACACACACACACAATGCATGGTTACACAGTTTTAAATCAAGGACCCTGACGTGAGAAGACTTGAGGTATTTGTCTGGCTTATTTCATTCAGCATAATATTCCTAGTTCCATATACTGTCCTGTATTTGAAGTCTACGCTGTGTCGAAAAATGCACCCATCTTGATCTCGGCATTTTAAAAGTTAGAATTTTCTATCTGGTTGAAAATCCTTCCAAATTTAGAACCGCGTTAGACTCCGGACCGTTTGTTAAAAAGACAAATGTGATACCTAATTAGTAGTATGCAAGAGCACGTTGGGAGAGATGCCAGCCCAGCAAACGAGTTCCAACAAAGACACTTTTCACATGGCTTATGGTGGAACAGAAACCCCAGGAACAGGGCTAAGCCTGGCCAGGGATGGATGTAGACCAAGTGAGCTGTGAGCAGCCAACCGGCAAACAGCACTCCTCAAGGGCCTCTTCCTCAGTGCCTGCCTTCAGTGTGACAGGGATGTGTGAGCCAAGTCCTTTCGGTCATAGCGTTTATCACAGCAACGGAAAGCGAACTTGGACAGTGTGTATTGAGTGTGGGCACACGTAGAAGTC